CTAGCAATAGTGGATACACAGCCTGAACTGGCCATTTCCTGTAACCAGGCAAGACTTCCAATGGAAGGACTGGGACACTAACCCAGCCACATAACCTTCATCCTACAGTCTGCTCTGCCTATGAGACGTGCTGGGATAAAGGTGGCACAGAGATTGTGGGAGTGGCCAACCAATGACTAGTCCAACCTGAGAATCCATGCCACAAGAGTGAGCCCATCCCTGACACTCCCTGGACGCCAGGACCCAGAAGCTGGATGGCTCAAAGATCTAGGATAGAACCAAACATGATAGGAAAAAAAAGTCATGTAATGATGCCTAACAATATAATTATACTCATAGAGAGATTGTTGCCTATCCAAATCGTCATCAGAGAGGGCTTCATTCAGTAACTGATGGAAACAGATTCTGAGACCCACAGCCAAACATGAGCCCAAGCTTGGGGAATCCTGATGAAGAGAGAGAGGAAAGATTGTAGGAGCCAGAGGCATCAAGGACATCATAAGAAAACCCACAAAATTAGCTAATCTGGGCTCATAGGCGCTCACAGAGACTGAATTGACAACCAGAGAGCCTGTATGGGCCTGATGTAGGCCCTCGCATATATGTAACAGTTGTGTAGCTTGTGGGACTCCTAACAGTGGTAGCAGGTGCTGTCACTTACACTTTGGCTGGCTTTTGGGAACCTATTACTCATACTGAGTTGCTTTGACCAGCCTTAATACAAGGAGAGGTGCTTAGTCCTACTGCAACTTAATATGCCATGTTTTTGTTCATACCCTTAGGAGGACCACCCCTTTCTAAATAGAAACGAAGGTGGCGTGGATGGGGTGAGGGTCAGGGGGACAGGTTGGGGAACAGAATTTGAGGCAGAGGAAACTGAGGTGGGGATATGAAGTAAATTAATTTAATTTAATTGGAAAATAAAGAGTTAACTTAGAGCTTACAGTTTCAGAGGTTAACCCCATTATCATAACAGTGGGCAGTATGGAGGCATGCCAGCAGACATGGTAGCTAAGAGCTCTACATCTAGATTCACAGGTAGCAGGAAGAGAGAGCTTTGAAACTCAAAGCCCACCAGCAAAGATACACTTCCTCCTAGGCCTCACTTCCTAAACCTTTCAATGAGTACCATTCTGTGATGACTAACCATTCAAATATATGAGCCTGTGGGGGCCATTCTCATTCCAACCACCACAACCACTGTAAGCCACCCACAGGAAAGAAGGGGAAACAGATAGATTGGAGCTGGTGCCTTCTGTCTGGGAGCTTGCCCATCATTCCCAACTGCTCCAGGGAAAGTGAAAGCAGGAGGGATGGAAGACATTTTGTGCTTCTTTAACTTAAAGTGTTATTTGTTTAGTTTTTGTGGGGGAGTATGCCGTGTGTATAGGGGTCCCCACAAAGGCCAGAAGAGGACATTGGGTCTCCTGGAGCTAGAGTTACAGGCTGTTGGGAGTGGCCCTAAGTTGGTGCTGGGAACTGCGGTGTCCTCTAGAAGAGCAGCAAACACTCTTCACTGGAACCATCTCTCTAACGCCTGAGTTAAAGTTCTTAAGAGAAAACATATATCTCTATGCGAGTATTTGTGTTTCAAGCTGGTGCTTACCAAATGTGTTATAAACATAGATCAGAGTCCAGACAGCCCGCATGGGATTTCCAGGTTCTCTGGACTAAACAAAGAAAACTGTACCAGGGACACATAGTTAGTGATAGAAATAGAGACCTTTTATTTAAAAAAACAAAACAAAACAAACAAAAAAAAAAAAACAGATACTTCAAAGAATAGGAATGCGCCCCCTCCGTGAGAGCTGGGGAAAGTCTAAGGTCCAGTCCTTTGTGGAACATTTACAAAGCCTCTACCTTCTCTGGCAACAGGAGGTCACAGGGCTTTTTTGTGCATGCTATTTTGTTATGTGTAGCCTATAGTTGGAAGGGTTTCCTATCTTTCTCTGCTATTGGTTTTATCATATGTTTTATCTATTCTTTATTCTCCTTCCTCTCTTAGAAGGGAATAAAGCTAAAGAGTTCCAAAGTAGTTTGTGAAACTGTATTTTGAAAGACTTAAAAATTAGCAAAGAAATATAGCCCAGAAACTGACCAAGGCTACTACTATGACTTAGTGCTTGGAATTTACCAGTCACCAACAATTACTCCCTTCCAAGGCCATAAGATAACTGGGTACCAAGAATTCCCAGATGGCCACCCTCCCCAAGGGGCTCATGAACGAAACAGATTGCCCCACCGGCCAATGTGTCAATAATTAACAATTAAGGGTCCCTGTGAAACGAAGAGATAGATAGCTACCATTAGTTAGCACATCCTGAGGTCTGCAGGTTTTACAACTGGTGGGGTCAGGAGGCTATCTGATTCTCAGGCCTCCCCTCAAGACAAAGGGCTTCCTAGGAACTCATGACTCATGGGTTCAATGGACAGAGAGTCGAAGCCCCTCCCTAAGCTTATGGTTTTTGCTTTTAAAAACGCCTGTGCCTGGGGGACGGGGCTGCTCTCTAGCCTGCATGCTGAAAGAGCCCGTTTGTACAATCGTCCACCTTTCATTAAAGCCTCTTGCTGTTTGCATCAAGTTTCTGCCTTCTCATGGTGATTGGGATGGCCGCAGTCCTGGGAAAAGATTCTGGAGGCCTGAACTTCCAGGGGGGTCTTACAATTTTACTTGCACCTGACATGAAGGACCACTTCTAAAGAATGCATTTATTTCATAGCACTCCATTTTTTGTACTGTTCAGCCAAGAATTATTCTACATAAAGTATATAAATAAAAACAGAGGTACATCTTTTTGTGACAAGGTTATTAAATTTATAAGACTCAGATTCTGTAGCATCCAAGTAAGATTAAGAATAAAGCAGCAAGCCAGGCAGTGGTGATCCCATGCCTTAATCTCAGCACTCAGGAGGCAGAGGCAGGTGGGTCTCTGAGTTTGAGGCCAGCCTGGTCTTCAAAGAAAGTTCCAGGATGGTCTCCAAACCTACAGAGAAACCCTGTCTCGAAAAACCAAAGAAAAGAAAAAATAATAATAATAAAGCATACCCTAAGGCTATGTGGCTCTTAGGGCAAGTTTTTAGTTACTCATTCAGCAACACTAGTGGTCACTAGCATAAATTTCCTAGCCTCTCATAGGAGAGGTATCTATATCCCTCACGGACAAGACTGCAATCACTTCTTTACAGACTTCACTTGTTCAGAGGACCAACAGTGTGAAAGTCAAAGCCAGGCTCTTTCAGTTCCCCAGTCAGGCCTCACAAGCAAGGAGATTTCTGTTCCCCTTGTATGGAGATCATTGCTGACTTCCAGGTTATTGCTAATTCACCTTTATTCCAAAGCCTTTGTTTGTTTTTCCACTGTGGATTCTTTGTGGACGTTACAAGGTGGACATTATTACCCTTCCTTCCCCTCCTCTGACTTCCTCTTAGCTAGAATGCTAAGTACCTACTGAGCAAACAATGGTTTGTCTGTCTCACCAAGGTAAGCACAAATACTTTGTGAAGATGTGAAAGAGCCACCCTCTTGCACATGGGACTATCCTGTGCTGCCATTTATACTCTGGAAAACAGATTTCAATAATACTTTAAAATTTTTTAAGAAAAAAAAACAAGATTAGGTGAGTATTATCAAGCATCCGATTCATCTCTTTTCATGCAGACCCCCACCTTGGTGCTTTAATGAAACATCCCCACCAGAGGAAGTAATCTCTTTTCCCTTTGTGATGTACTGTGGAACCACAGAGAAGGGTATCACCCATGGTTAATCCTCTGTGGATGTTTAATCATCTACAGAGGAACAGCTGGTATCCAGTCTAACAGATGTGGATCAGATATTATAGTTTAGCCTTAGTCCAAATTCCAAGACAGTCTGGTTTTCCTTATTCAGGAAACTTTTCTTAGGTGAAGAGGCGTAAGTCAAAGAAAATGGGAGACCAAAACCTTGGCTACATAGTGAGTTCAAAGCCAGGCTAGGTGATTTCAGCACCATATAAATGAAAAAAAGAAAAGGACAGGACTGCTCCTAGGTGTAGTGGAGAACGTTTATTGCTGATATGTGGGAGGGCATAGCCAGGGGCAGCACATCTGGAACAGTTCAGAGTAGACATGCTCAGACTGAGCTGTTCCATGACCAGAGGGGAGGACAAGGGAGAGGGAAGAGCAGGGGAACCAGGTACAGCAGCCAGGAGGCCCAAAGGTACAAAGAGAGCATGAGCAAAATGGTTGGATTACATAGGGAAGGGCATCTGGGGCAAGGGAAGCCAGATGGAGAGTTCAGAGTAGGGGGCAGGATATGCCAGCCAGGAAGACCCTGTAACAGGTAGGGGCTGAGGGATGTTAGGGAGACCCTGATGGACAGGTTCAATTTGATGTGTTAAATAGGCACCGCAGCCATTTGTTCCAGGTTTGAAACCTAACACTTCTCTTGAAGTTCAAATGGAAGGTGCAGCTCTGACTGCAGATCATAAGCATTTGCTTTGAAATCTTGGCTCTGTTGAAGAAAATGTGGAAACTCTAAGAGACGCTCACCGAGATGTGTTCCCAAAAGAAGCGAAAGAAGCACATTATCAGCTTAGGAGTGAGGAAAGGACTCTGTCTCAGAGTTTTTATTTCTGTGATGAAACATTGTGATCAAAAGCAGCTTGAGGGGAGGGCAAGGGTTTATTTCAGTTTACAACTTTCAGGTCACACTCTATTGGTGGGGGAAGTCAGGGCAGGAATTTAAGGTAGCAAGCTGGAGGCAGAGCTGAAGCAGACAGAAGGCATAGAGGAAAGCTGATTTCCATAGCTTACTCAACCTGTTTTTATCTACAACTCAGGGTCACCAGTCCAGGGGAGTGTGGTGATATATTATTTATGATTTACTAAAGCTTGCCTTAGGGTTCAGAAAGAAAAGCTGTTGAGGCCATAGAGGTCAGGCAATGATGATACACACCTTAAATCCCAGCAGCCATACTAGCTAGCCATAGAGCCAGGCAGTGGTGGTGCATACCTTTAATACCAGGACTCAAGAGACAAACGGATCTCTGTTAGTTCAAGGCCACACTGAGCTACATGAAATTGATCCAGTCTTAAGGAGAAACAGCTCAACACAAAGGTGGTCTCAGCACTTGGGTTCAAATGCCTTTAATCCCAGGATTTGAGAGGTATAAAAAGAAGATTTAGTCTCCAGCCACCTTGAGGAGAGGTAGCAATGTAGGATTGCAGTCTGAGAATTCATGAAGGCAGGATTGCCATTTCAGCCTGAGGTAGAGGTAAGATCTACTGTCTTGGCTGCTTTGCTTTATCTTCAGTTTGGAGCTTGAACCCCAATATCAGTGGCAGGGGTTGTATTGTTCATGTTCCAGCAGTGATACTGCCCTCCTACATCAATCATTAATCAGGATCATATGCCACAGTTTACAATCTGAACATGATAGTGGGAAATATAATAGTGATAAGCAGGTCTGAAGTTCAGCTGAAATTTGGGAGTAAAGTCATAAACTCCAGGAACACTGATAATACAAATAAGGGAGCTGACAAAAGGGATCACCGGCTGAGTCCTGGAAACGGAGTCACCCCAGGATTCAGTGGAGAATGGTGAAGGATAAGGGATTCTTGTCAGAGCAGGGTCAAAAGAATGACACAAGGTGAACAATGACTTGAACTGTGAGAGGCTCCAGGAAAAAAAGGCAGAGAGAGGGACTTTTACCTCAAATACATATTGTTCCCTGGATTGTTTTTGGACATGATTTTGTGCCTCCTGTTGCAAATATTTGCATCAATTTATAAAATCTGTTTATTCTTATTGGATGTCGAAACATAGCTATAGAACCCAATCTGGTGAAAGGAAACGCTGAGTGCTGTCCTCACTGTACCCCTAATCTGGACATGGCCTTTTGCCTTGCTTTTGTGTTTTACCAGATATAATGTATAGTACATGCCAGGTAATTTTTTTTTTAATTGACTTGTCCTGAGAAAGTTCTGTTAATATTTAGTATGTGCTTACTGGTGTTTATTTATGTTTTTCTGAACTCAAACAATCTTCCTTGGATCATTGCTTTCCTTGTTACATTCATATATAAAAGTACACTGAAACTCCAGTAAGGTTGTCTATAGCATTAGACTGTAGTCCACCCCATTTTTTCAGGTCCTCCAATCCCAGACTCTCAGACAGATCTGCATAGGTTGGCAAAAGCTGACAAGTGGTGCCCGAATCTGGGACCTGAATGAAAAGCTAAGAGAGGACATGAGGACCCCTGCAGAAGGAGGTAAGCAGGGATTGATATGGTGTCAAAAGCAGGAAAACGGGTACTATATATGGAGTTGATGCATCATTTCTTTAAAAAGAGAGGTGCTGCAAAGTCTAAAGCCCAGCCGTAAGAATTCTGGGATTAAATAACAGAATATAATCCTTGGTTTCCTGAAAAGGGCTCTCTGGATCCTGAAATATGGGATCAGATTAAAGGAAATATAATGAAAGCTCATAGCTCATTTCAGTGCAATTCTGGATGACTTGGGTCCCCACCATGATACAAACAATAAATGGGGACAAGCCAAAGGATTTAGAAAAGGCTATAAACAGATTCTTTATATACATGAGTATGAGCCAGATAATGAAACACGAGGAAAAAAAATCTTACAAGGTAGAAAGTTTTTCCAGTGCAAATTCAGAAACGGCCCAGTGAGCAAAATGGAAAGTAAAAATGTTAGTTCTGGTCAAGGATGAGCACCCCTGGCCATCCACTCCCCTGCCTACGATACTGTGTCTTCCTCTACCTGAGGACTCTAATGATGATTGGAATGAACTGGGGATGGGGGAGGGTGATATGCTGCTGTTCTGGGAACATCAACATAGACACTGCACGAATGCCATTAAGTGACCAGATTCTGGGAAAAAAGGCAGAGGAGCTTTCTAAAATTAGACAGGGGCCTGATGAGCCATATCAAAATTTTGTTTCTCATCTTTTACAGGTAGTCAGTTGTCTTGTGGTTGATGGAGAGGCAGAAATACTTACTGTTAAGCAACTGCCATATGAGAATGCTAATGCTTCATGCCAGACAGCATTCATCCCTTTTGGAAGAAAGGAGATACCGATGATTACAACTACCTATGTGCTGAATTGGGCTTTTGCATACTCAAGGCTAACTCTGGATACACCCCTCCAAGGACAGACAATGCCTCAATTATTGGCAGTCATTCAACAAGGAAAAGGAATGAATAATGACAAATAGCCCAACTTTATGTCAAAAGTTTGTTGCTGCTGCTGCTTTAAAAGAAGCTAAAGTACAATTTACTCTGTCACTATATGTCATATGGATGATATTCTGCTTTCTATAAAAAGCAGATTTGTTTACAAAAATAAAAATGAATTAACTCTTTAAATTTGCATTCCTCATGAAAAATTAAAATCTTTCTTAAATGCTTTAGATGATTTAACACTAGCTTTTGCTGTTTTATGCACCTGTAAATTTTTTTTTTAACTAACAAGCCAGGCAGTGGTGGTGCACACCTTTAATCCTGGCAGAGGCAGGGGCAAATGGGTATCTGTGAGTTCTCGTCTACCTAGCAAGTTCCAGGATAGCCAGGGCTAGACATAGAAACCCTGTTTCGAAAAAGCAGACAAACAACAAAACAAAGTAACAATGCTCCTGCATATACTGCCAAGCCTTTTCAGGACAATTGCCAACAGTTTAATATAACCAACATCACAGGCATTCCTTATAACCCTCAGGGTCAATCTGTTGTGGAAAGAGCTAATGGACAACTTAAATGTTATTTAAAAAGTAAAGGAAGGGTGGTATGGCTACTCCTCACAATATTTTATCTTCTATTTTATATAGTTTAAAATTTTAAATTTGATGGCCTTACTGCTATGGAATGTTTTTGGACCCCTCCAAAACGTTCAGAAGAGACTTAGTGAAATCTCAGGGGAAGGGTGTGACTGCAGAATTGCTGTTCCTTACTATGCTGTCTCTGTTGAACATGTCTGTTACTGCTGAGACATATTGGGCTAATGGAACTGATCCTCCCTGTGCTTCACTTTGTTAACTGGGAAGAGAATAACATTTCTGTTTATGTCAATGACTCTGAGATGTTGTTCTCAAGCAAAGAAGGTCACATGACAATTTAAGTGTTGATGTTCAAGGCTTGCATAGTAAAGTATTAACTATTCCACATTCAGAGTTAGATAAATTACCCTCCTTCAAAGCTCTTATTTCCACGTTGCAGACATTCACTGTATGGGTATTCCCACACAGTTAAAACAGATATCGGCCCTGCTTTTACTAGTAAGAATTTTAAGAAATTCTGTAAAGAATGGCAAATTTCCTGGGCAGAGGTGGCACACGCCTTTAATCCCCGAACTGGGGAGGCAGAGGCAGGTGAATCTCTGTGAGTTTGAGGCCAGCCTGGTCTACAGAGCAAGTGCCAGGATAGGCTCCAAAGCTACACAGAGAAACACCATCTTGAAAAACAAAACAAAACAAAACAAAAAGAATGGCAAATTCAACATATCGATGGAATGCCTTACAACCCAAAGGGTCAAACATTTGTAGAACATGCACATTCCACACTAAAGAAACAACTTTTAAAAACTAAAAATAGGGAACTGCTCCCTGATGGGGGATGTCCTTCTGTATATATGTTTCTCTTTTTGGTTGATGAATAAAACACACAATAGAGGCAGGAAGATAGGCAGGGCTAGGAGAAAAGGAGAATTCTGGGAAAGGCAGGCAGAGAGAGACCACGAAGAGTCACCATGTAGAGACCGGGAAAATAAGATGCACCAGGTGTTCTCTAGTAAGAAAAGGCCATGTAGAAATGCGTAGATTAGTAGTTATGGGTTAATAATTAAGAGAGAGCTAGCCAGTAAGAAGCCCCAGCCATTGGCCAACAGTTTAGTAATAATAAGTCTCTATGTATTTATTTGGAGCTGAAGGGGCTTCGGGAACAAGCAGGACAAGAAATTCCAGATACAAAATGTCACTGGCAATGAGGGTTGCAAGAATTTCCACATAAAACCTGACAAGAGTTTTAAAAGGGATTCTAAACAAAAGGACAGAGACAAGCAGGGCTTCTTGGTAGCAACATTTTCTCAGGTGGGCTCTGTTTGCTAGAGACAAGCAGAGGCTCACAGCTCCTTTAAGAGAGGCTTCCTGACTCAGTGTTAGCAATAAAAACTGCACAGCTCTTTTAAGAGGCCCTTCTACAAACAATTAAATGGTGTATAGGAGCAGCTGGCAGCAGCAGTGACCACATCTCCAGGACACACAGCATGCTGCATGGCAGATTTAGCTTTTACTCATACAGACAAAAAAAAAAAAAAAAAAAAAAAAAAAAAAAAAAAGGTTAAGAGTCGAGGCAATGAGGACAGCTCCTAGAGCTGGTGGTAAGTGTATCCCCACCATCTTGGAAAGCCAGTGCTAAAACAGCCACTGCTTTAATTTTAGCCATGCTGTTTAGCAGATAAAAGACTCGTGGCCAGAAAAAGAGATATACAACAAAGACAGAATCAGATGAAGAAAAACCTCTAAAGGGTTTATAGTGTGTTTAAAAATATACATAGGTGCTGGGCATGGTGTTGCACATGTCCCAGCTACTTGGGAGGTTGAGACAGGAGGATCGATTGAGTCCAGGAGTTCTGGTCTGTAGTGTGCTATGCTGAGCGGTGTGTCTGCACTAACACTAAGTTCGGTGTCAATATGGTGACCTTGGGGTAGGGGGTGGCATCAGGTTGCCTAAGGAGGGGTGAACCGGCCCAGGTCGGGAAAATATAAGTAGGCTTGGGAGAGAGAAGAAAAAGGATAAACTGGTTAAAAAAAGAAATAAAGTAACTGGGTGATGGTGGCATACACATTTAATCCCAGCACTCGGGAGGCAGAGGCAGTCGGATCTCTGTGATTTCAAGGTCAGCCTGGTCAACAGAGTGGAATCTAGGACAGGCAAAAGTACACAGAGAAACCCTGTCTCAAAAAAATGAAAAATTAAAAGAAATAGAGTGAAAAAAAAAGCCATGTAAGAATGGAAAAAGTACACAGAGTCTGGATACTGTATGTTACTGTGTTGTCTTTGAATTGTTTGATTGTTGAGGAAAGAGCAACACCTGCTAAAAGACATTTGATTATAAATGCTGCTGGATTAATCCAACTTATATATTTTGAAAATGCCTTGAATTCTACACTTAAGTATAAGGACATGTTACTTTGGAAAAGAGGTTCTGTTTTTGTTTCCACGGAAAATGAGAAGCTGTGGATTCCTTCTAGACTAATAATATGGTTTGATCAAGCAAGACCCCCTGAAGCAGTGGCCCAGTTTATCCAACATCCAAAACAGCTGGGACAGTGCAATCCTGCAGACTATTAACAGCCAGGATTGGCCAGGTTTCTGGGTTTTCTCAGGATCCCCATAGCAGCAGGAAGCAGTTTGGAGAAAAGGATGCCCAAATTCCCAAATATTGTTTATAGATTTTTTTCATTTAAATGGGTTTGGTTATAAATGGTTAATGATCACAATCTTCTTTTAAAAGAATAAAAGGGAATATGATATAGAAATGAATACTTTGCATTGGTATGGATTTTGATTTATTGATACAAATTTAAGGTCAATTTGTTATACTTATATTTCTCCTTTGTTTAGGTGTTGTGTTTATACAGCTCATTTAAAAAATGTAATGTATTATTAAATACAGATTGTATATAGTCACCTATAATAGTCAAAACTTAGGTTTTCTAGATATATAGAGATATATTTCAAATGGATAGATATTCTTTAAATCTTTCAAAGACCTACAGAATATGGCATTTTAAATGGTTAAGGTTTTTCATGACAGTAAGACACAACTGCTCCTTATAACACCAATTATATCGGAGAGGAAGATGGGCATTGAAGAAACTCGTTATGGAGTTTGCCTTCAACATGACAAAACTAGCCATTTGGGCAAGAAACTGCTCTTGCCTGGACTGTTTGATTGTATGATGTATAAACTGGACATGCAGGACCCACAGGAAAGTGACTGATGAACTTGAAAAAACAAGATGGGACAGTCCTGTAGGGTTCTTGCTTCATGGAAGAGTCTGCCAGACATTCTGCAGGACACAGAGAAAAATGACTGACAATCTGACAATACAGGCAGACTGTTTAAAATTTCCTGCTTCACCGAGAAGTCTTCCAGACACACTATGGGCTGAAGATGGATTCTCCAACGTTACAGAAGAATGTTGGGTGACTTTCCAGGCAGCAAGATGTCTCTATCAATTTTAGAGTTTATATATTATCCTTCTGAGACTTTGATGGAGTTGAAGACAGATAGTTATGATTATAATTTCCCTTGGTTATGATAACATATAAGTTACACATAAAACTGTAGACTCGCAAAGATAGGATAGATGATAGGATATTTTCTATAAATTTTGCCAAATGTTAGTGGACTAAATATTGGTAACTATAGTTCTTGATTGATAGTTATTTTGTTATATATAATTTTACTATGTTAAAATTAACACCCTTTTTATTTAGACAGAAAAGAGGAGATGATGGGGAGAATGTTCTGTATATATGTTTCTTTTATTGGTTGATGAATAAAACAGTTTGGCCAATAGAGGCAGGAATATAGAGGAGACTAGGAGAAGAGAATTCTGGAAAAGGTAGGCAGAGAGAGTCCCAAAGAGACATCATGTATCTGAGGAAGGAGTAACAGGTCCAGGCATTCTCTGAGAAGCCAGGGCCACATGGAAATAATAGATTAATAGAAATGGGTTAATAATTAAGACAGAGCTAGCCAATTAGAAGTCCTAGCCATTGGCCAACAGTTTTATAATTAATATAGTGTCTGTGTGCTTATTTGGGACTGAGAAGGTGGCAGGACCTGGCAGGACAAGAAACACTCCAGCAAAAACTCCCTGAGATACTCTTGCTAAAATCTTATTTACTTTGAATTTTTTAATTTGCCCCAACAGGAAGCTATCACTGGAGCTTCCCCGAATTTTCAGGAGGTTCTGACCTACATGCAGCCATTGTCCCATTCCAGATGGTATGAAGGACTAGACTTCTAGGTACCAGGATGAAATTTTTCAGACAGTTGTGGAATTTCTGGACAATGTATAGCAAAAGGAATTGCTGACAAGTCATGGATCCACATTCTTGGTGGCAAATTACTATGCACTGTGCTCTAGCATATAACATGACACTTAACATATGTCTTTTCATGTTTCTCTTAGGATGTTGATGCCTCCAAACAAGAATAAATGCCCAAGAACACTCAGATTTATCTACCACACTGGCTGTTCTTGCTTTAAAGGATAAAAAAGGGGAATTATCACAACAGGGTCAAAAGAATGACACGTAGTGAACAATGCCTTGAGGAACTGTGAGAGGCTCCAGGAAAA